TGGACACACTTCACTGGACACTCTTCAGGAGCGTCAAAGCTGCTATTTTTTGTTTCTTAACAGTGTCCTGTCTGGCGATGTGGCAATAAGAATAACTGCCTTGATGCTAAAGAAGGTCCCAACAGATTTTGCTTTCACAAGTAGAGGAGTACGGCTATCGCCATAGTGTTCCGCTTGATTTCTGCATATAAATAGCTTTATTATAATTCATGCAGGGAGTATTACAGATTATATAGACACTGCAATGTTAGTAGGACAGGAAAGGAAAAACAGAAAAAAGGAGAAAAGATGAAAGAAAGAGGAGATAAAAGGGAGATAACGAGTCTGACTATCAGTCTGTCAAAGCTGCTCTTGACGTACGTCTGACCTTAAAGGAATAGTACACCCAAAACATGATTAGCCTTCATTTTCTACTCACCCCCATGCTGAACAACACTCTGGAGTACTTTTTTGATATCTCAAATGCATCTGGAGATCTGGGAGGCTTCTTGCTGTCTGCTGACATTCAAATAATGGAGGTCTATGGTGCCCGAGGCAGAAAGGTCCATAAAAGTCCACAAAAAACGTGTCAATATTCCTCCATACTGCTCGTCCAATGTATTCCAAGTGTCCTTAGTGGGTAGCGTCCATAATTTACTCAAAACAAAGTCATTTAGAATGTTTTTAGAGCATAAACAGTAGTGTATAGGATTTCCTAAAAGCGCGTTCACGAGTCTACGGAAACCGCGGCAGACCAAACCAGACGAAAGTGCGCATTCAGCTCGGCAAAGAATTCATGCTCTTCCTCAACACTGAAGTCCTCAGACATTTTTCTTTCGTTGTTTCTTTCTTTGCACAGGTAAACAGCACATTTCTTCTTCTACGCTTGCATTATCGGCAGAGCAGACGCTGAATGCGCACTTTCGTCTGGTTTGGTCTGCCGCGGTTTCCGTAGACTCGTGAACGCGCTTTTAGGAAATCCTATACACTACTTTTTATGCTCTAAAAACATTCTAAATGACTTCGTTTCAAGTAAATTATGGACGCTACCCACTCAGGACACTTGGAATACATTGGACGAGCAGTATGGAGGAATATTGACACGTTTTTTGTGGACTTTTATGGACCTTTCTGCCTCGGGCACCATAGACCTCCATTATTTGAATGTCAGCAGACAGCAAGAAGCCTCCCAGATCTCCAGATGCATTTGAGATATCAAAAAAGTACTCCAGAGTGTTGTTCAGCATGGGGGTGAGTAGAAAATGAAGGCTAATCATGTTTTGGGTGTACTATTCCTTTAATGTGTACAAGCAAGAAAAATGAAGCAGCAGAAGCTTTTTTGCTACTTCCAGCGCTTGCGGTCTGAATGTAGCATAACACCTGCTTGATTATAGAGCACGACATTCCCTCTACAATTCATTAGTTCTTCCATACATTAGTTATTGCATAGAGGTTTTCGGGCTAATATATACAAAAGTAATCTAGATTCACTTATCAAACTTAAAAAGAAAAACGTTAGGAATCATTCATAATGTTAGATTAAGAGATCATTTTAATGCACTTTTCTTAACATTTTATATCATGATATTCCAAGACACATTTAAATTTAAAACTACTTGCTGTAGTGTACAATGCAAGCCGTGATCTACTTTCTGGCAATATACAAAAATGTTCAACAGTAGAATGAGAATAATAATCTGAGAGGAGACTTTGCGTTGAGAAGACGTGGTTTATGCAGCACACTTTAAAGCCCTGGGCTCAGCCGAGCAGGAGTTATGCTGTGGAATGGATTAGATATGGAAATACAAAGGAATACCACCCTAAGACAATTTAAAAGCAAATATAAAATAAATATGTTATCTTTAAAAAAATATGAAAGTGACCCAAACATTTAAACTTGATAATTTGCAACATTTTTTATTTGTATTACTAGATATCTACTTCTTTCTGTACAACTGCTTTGATTTGTAATATCTCCTTTTAGCAAAAGACGTTATATGTTACATGACATGATTTTTGTTATTCGGATTAGTTTCTTATAAGTTCCTTGAACTTCTACCTACTCCTTGTGAGTGCTACTAAAATGTCCTCAAAGGAAATCTTGCTTGTGTTGTTGCACAAAGAAATTGAAATAATGAAAAAAGGAGTGGCTTGGGAACAACTCTGTGATCAGTCTTAGCCCTGACCTAAACCCAATTGAGCATCTCTGGAAAGACCTGAAAATAGCCGTCCACCAACCTGAGAGAACTGGAGAGGATCTGCAAGGAAGAATGGCAGAGGATCCCCAAATCCAGGTGTGAAAAACTTGTTGCCTCATTCCCAAGAAGACCCCTGGCTATACTAGTTTAAAAGACTGCTACTACTCAATACTGAGCAAAGCGTCTGAATACTTATGACCATGTGATATTTCAGTTTTTCAAGATGAGAAATAAAATTAAGTTTATGATTTTACCCAATGGCTGTAATGAAAGAAAGACTGTATATATCTGTATATATATATATATATATATATATATATATATATATATATATATATATATATATGTATGTATATATATATATATATATATATATATATATATATATATATATATATATATATATATATATATATATAATTTTTATCACTGCTGCTGACGTTATCAAGGCTGCACTTTAAAAAATGAAATAGTGTAGAGAGCTCTTCGAAATTTCTTTTTGTTTAAACTTGTGTATAAAAAATGACAAAATAAATCTAAGTCTACTTTATATACGGTATATACATATATATATATATATATATATATATATATATATATATATATATATATATATATATATATATATATAAAGTAGACTCAGATTTATTTTAGATATATATGTATGTATAGTTTCCCACTGGGATCAGCTTCATAGTCATGATGTTAGGCCCGTTCTTTGATTTTATTTATTTTGCTTATAAGCTGACAGCCTGCCAAATGTTTAAAGGGCAATATTATTGCCATTAATGTTAAGAAATAGTTGAAATCTTACACATTCAGTAATAAGATATCACAGGGGATGGTATGGGGGGATTGTCATTTCAAAAGGGAGGTGCCATCCCCCTCATCCCCTCTCAACTCGAGTACTCTATTTATATATATATATATATATATATATATATATATATATATATATATGTGTGTGTGTGTGCGTGTGTGTGTTGTACATTGAACATAACGCCAAAAATAGAGAAGAAATTATTTATTTACTGTACATCATACAATCCTACCCCATTTATTTCATATTAAGACCAGTAAAAGTCATGCTCGGATTCCCTTGTCATATACGCCATTTAATGCGGCCAGATTCTTTTTTTTTTTTTTGTTCTTTGATTCAAACTCATTAATATTCCTAGATTGTTTGAGTTCAGTTACCAGCATGGGAATGTCCAGGATGCAGGTCTTCAATCCAGAAATTAAAATTACATTACCACACCATTGATTCCATCAATGATGATGGTTTCATCATCAGAGGTGTCAAAAGTGTTAATGTTTATTACTAAAGTAGAAGTATAAATCCTACTGTTTATTAAAAACATTTTTGTAGAGTATCATCTTTTCTTGTTTTACCTTTATTGATCTCACATTGGAGAAATTTACCTCCAAATAAAATTAACCCATCCCCTTGGGGAGCAGTGGGCTGCCATTGTGTTGCACCCAGGGAGCAGTGTGGGGTTAATGGTCTTGCTCAGGGACCCAGACTGGAGGCTGTGGGGATCGAACCAGTTACTTGTAACCTTCTCAGAGCACAAGTGCACTGCTCTAACCACTAGGGCAACACTCCCCAAATTAAGCTTTTCACTCCAGTAAAAGTGTAAAAGCACAATTTTTAAAACTAGTTCAAGTATAAAAATAAAAGTAATGCAGGAAAAAAAGTTAAGGACAGAAGCTTTACTGCTCTGCCCTATTAAAGGAACATTTTTCTACAATTCTGAATGATAACTTCCTTATATTTAATTTTCTTAGTTTTATAACCAACAGTGTCAAATATATTTGGATATATAGTTATACATATATATATATATATGATTATGTATATATAGAGTTATATATGCATATATTTATATTATTTTGTGTGGATTCTGTATGTATATATATATATATATATATATATATATATATATATATATATATATATATATATATATATATATATATATATATATATAAATGTCTATATATATATATATATATATATATATATAAATGTCTGTATATCTGGTGCGTGTAACAAAAGTAATTTCCCTCTGGGATTATTAAAGTATGTCTGATTCTAAATGAACTTTGAATCATCTTGAAAAACTATTTATTTTGGTATGTGGTGAGCAACAAGTTGGGGCAGCACCAAGTACAATCACAAAGTACTCGGTTTTGTTTAATAACAAAAAATAAAAAACATTACTTTAATGTTTTTATTTTTGAAATACCAACAGGCTATAAAGAAAATTAGCTTAAATGAAACAGAACTAATGATTCTGTTTTTAAAATGTAAGGAGCAGAAGTAAAAAGTTGTCTAAAAATAATTACTGCAGGAAAGTATAGATACCCAGAATGTCTTTTTAAGTAACAAAGTATTTGTACTTAGTTGCCTGACATCTCTGTAAATCATTGATTTTAAATTAGGATGAATTAGTTTAAAGATGTTTATTTTTTATTTCTGAAACAGGACCAGGCCCTGACTGCAGCTGCAGGCAGAACCGGAGCAGTTCACAGATTCAACAGGTTTTTTCTGGGAGTCCTCAGCTCGATCTCCTGGTTGCAGATGATCTCCCACCTCCGCACCCTGAAATGAACAGAAGTGGCTCATAGAAATGAAACGGGGCGCCGGGGTCTAAAGAAAACAACAGAGCCTCTGCTGCAGCCGCGCGTCAACGGGTCCAGTCAGCCGTCTCGACCATATATGGGCATAGCGCTTCCTGCGGCCCCAGAAACACACATGAACGCGCGTTCCTAACATAGCATTTAAAGCACGTCATTGCATTCAGGTTCCCGCTCCACAGTCAGAGCAAAGCCACGGAGGGAGGAGGACTGGAGCCGGGGACGGGTCTGCGTTCTCCGGACCTTCTCTGGTCCTTCTGGTTCTTTGTCTTTAAAGGCTCCTGCAGCAGGAGGGGGGGCTGCATAGCTGCAGAGCCTGGTTGGAGGCATTTAACTCCAATCCAGCAGAATTAGTTGACATAAAGCAGAAAAAGTTTGATGCATGGCTCTGAGTTCTGGTTCTGTCTAAAAACAACCCAAAAAATAGATAAAACTAAATTAAAATAATAATAATAAAAAAACTTTATAAAACAACAGAAAAAAGTTTGTCACAAATTATACCGAACCCTTCAGCCTAGTTTGCCGCACCGGGACAAGTCGGGTCGGGTCTGACCGGGCCAAGTCGGGTCGGACCGGGCGGGCTGCTGTGGAGGCGGGTCCCTCCTGCAGAACAATGCCATTATTTGAGCTCCGTTGGTCAGGAATGCCAGATTTCACAGGCCGCTGCCCTCTTCCACCACTGCACCTCCACTGGGACCTTTTCCCACCCCATCCTCTGCACCCCCCCACCTATTGCCCACCTTTGGCCCGCCCTGATGGAGCCCTGACTTCCTGCAGCCTGTGTGTCCTGTTGCACCTACAGCTCACATGTGTTGGAGCTCAGGGTGGTCCTGTTTACCCTGATGCTGCTGCAGGGGGGGCTGCGGAAGGCCCCACTTTTAGATGATGGTTCCCCTAAAAAAAGGTCGCTCCTCAAAGGCGGGTAATGACAAATTTGTGAATGGAAAGAAGAATTTGTGTTCATTGTTAAAATTTAACTATACAACGAGAGCCCCTCTGGTGTTCCACCAATCCAGGAGGTGATGGGGGAAATTTCCCACCAATCAGAGCAAAGACTAGAGGTAAACTGGACCAATGGGAACCTAGTATTCAAATAAGGAATTTGTCTCGGCAAGAGCTGAATGTCAACTAGTCAAAGATGGAGTCTAAAGCTGGAAGGCCGTGGGGTGGCCAGTGGACCGAAACAGCGGCTCCCCGCAGCAGGAGCGGCGGCGGCGGACCGGAGCGGGAGGCGGGGAGCGCGAGCCGCGTTTATCCGCTGGAATAGCGGCGCGGCTCCGCTCAGGCTTTGCTGGGTGAGCCGGAGGCTAAGGACCGGCCCTGCCAGCGCCAGGTACCGATTCAGCAGAACCGCTGGCCGCGTGGGGAGGGGATGGCATGAGGCTCGCGCACTAACGCGGGTGCGGGTGTTTCTGACTGACCGGGGAGACGTTTCACGAGCCTTTGCTGCTCACAACTATGGAGCTGCTATTGTGTGTGCGCACGCGTGTGCTTGTGGGTCTGTGCGCGCGCATCGGTTTGAGTGGAATGGAAATAAAAGCGTGCGCGCGAGCGAGCATGTTGACAAAGATAGTGATTGACAGGTAGGTGGCATGTAAACTAACTTTCTTTCTTTCCTCCCTTCTTTCCTTCTTTCTCAGCTTCTAGGATCCAGGGACACCCGGGGGTCCACTAAAGATGCCCCCAGATGTTCCAGCCTATATAATAACCTTGTTATTGAAGCCTTATGCTTTAATAATTACATTTTTTTGTAAGGTAAAAAAAAAAAGGTAGCCTTTCTGGTTTCAAAGCAGTCCACATAGTTCTGAGGGACATCTCATGCAGTTCATCCTTAGTAGAAAAGCTCCAGTCCACTGGATGTGGCCCCGGGGCCACATGTTTGTTTGTGTTGCGGTTTGGAAGTGTAGGAATGCGTGTTCTGTGCGTGGCTGCATCGTACCGGCCTCCATCTGCGGGGACAGGCAGCCTGGATGCTGTCCTATCAGGCTGGGATCCAAAGCTCCGGGCTCCCATGTGGAGGGGCTCCCCTCTCAGCCCGGGCGGCATGGAGTTGCTTTTTTTTATTTGCTGGATTATGGAGATCCTTGCAGGAGAAGAAGCTCTGCAGCTGACTGGAAATGGCTCCTGACATTGGAAATAACAAAGCCCCCCACACACACCCCTCCCCTCCTGGCACCCCCCACCCAATGGTTTCCTAAAAGAGGAGGGTTTCACGTTGCCACTGGCCAAAGGGACAGGAATAGCAGGTATTAAATGGAAGTCTGTGGTATTGTATCTGGGAATGTGCTCTTTGGCCTATATATGCTCCTCCACCCTCTGCTGGGTTTCCTCCCAGCAGAGCTCTGCAGTCTATAGGAAGAGCTTCGCCTGTCCTCTTGGTTCTGTTTCGCTGCAGTTTAACGTGAACTGGAACGAATCCGCCGACACATTGTCTTCAGATATTGTCTTATTGTGCAGAAATGAAACCGGAACAATCCTTTCCCTGTTTTGCACAGATTTTCTGCTCTTCTCGGGGGGTGGGGGGGTGGGGGGGGGGGGCTGAAACACTCAGCAGGATTTCTAAGCCTGTTTTGCTTGTTTCACGGCTGCTTGTCTGCTTGCAACATGTTAATCATGATCGCTGTAAGGAAGCCTGCAGCCCCCCCCCCCCCCCCCCCCCATCAGTATTGATGGGACTGAGCTGTTGCATGCTGCTGCTCCAAGAGTGAATAGAAACCATGTAGTTCAAAGCCCTTTTTCTGTTGTACTACTGTGAGATCACATGAGCAGTGCAATATTAAAAGGGCATTGGCTCACACACTATGACACCTTGCCCCCCCCGTCACCCCTCCCTTTACTGTATACCTTATTCAAGCTCAAACAAACGGTGCAGAAGTGCTTCTGTGGAATGTTGGACATTTCAGGTTGCGGTCGGCTGCGGCGTGTTTGAATCCCAGCATGCAGAGGTCAGCTGCTTTGACGATGTTGCACTACTGTACCATGCGCTGAAGCAGTGCAATAGTATTGTCATAGCATTTGGCCTTTGTCCTGCACAGCAGCAGCCGGACTGCACAGGTTGGAGGAAAAGAAACAAGCGGAGAGGAAAATAGCTTTTCTTTATTTTGTTTCCAAGCTGTCTCGGATATTTTCTCAGAGCATTAGAAGAGATAAATCCAATTTTATGTCCCACTAGTTTGAATTTCTTATAAGAATCTAACAAATTTGAGTTGTTTTTGTCCAGTGAAGTTTCCAGCTTGGGTATTAATGAATTCATTTTTGATGTGTTTGGAGAACACGGTGCTATATTTGACAAACTGGGAGTGTAACAGTGGAAGCTATTTAATTCTGGACGTTTTATGTGGAGCCACTGGGGTCCCTGGGCCACAGTTTGGGCGCCGCTCTTCAGACAGGAAGAGTCTGTGGCTTTTCTATTCAGCCGTGTTCCATTATCAGGCTGCATTTTACCCGGGGAGATATAGGCCTCCTGGTCCACGCCTCCTAAAAAACAGAACATTTTGTTCACAGAACTACACAGGTTGTCTCAGTTTGCATTGCAGAGCACGTGTCACATTAAGTAACGAGCACTGAGGTCAACTTACCCAACTTCTTGCAAATTTTTTCAGGCGCTGTAATGCGTTGCTACACGCTGGCCCTCAGTGTGAAATCATATGGAGTCCAAAATGGGTCGGATTTAATTTGGGTTCGCTCTGATCCGATTTTTATTCTCCTGATTGGATCAGAACTGAATTAGACGGAAAGATTTCCGTTTTAATTGTGGAAAAAAATCTGTTTTTAATTCACAATGAATCTATTAGCCGTGCCTTCTAGTATTTTAAAATTCTATAAGAATTAAAGGGGATTTTTTTCTGTTTCTATTCAACTATTTTTCCGTTTTTATAAATTGGCGGTAAAAACATTTTATCCAAACTAATTAAATGGATCTTTAAAAAAAGTTTTTGTATTTTTATTTTGCTTAAAATGTGAAACAGATTTGTTTGAAGCAAGTGAAATTTCTTTTTATAATGCAAACCTTTTTATATGGATTTAAGCCTGTTTCACAGAGGAAGGAGAGTGTGTGTTCATGGGAGCTTCAGATGAATGCTGCAGTCCCTTATTATTCTGCATATGTGTGTGTGTGTGTGCTCCTGCAGAACCCCCCCCCCCCCTTCAGTCGGCTTTTCAAAGCATAATTTGAGTGTGCAGGCCTGAAGAAGTCACCGCGTGGGTGGGAAAACCGGGGTAAGTTTCCTATTTGGGACAGGTCGTCAGGGGGAGAGGGGGGGATGGGGCTCCTTGTGAGGAATGTGGAGGGCCGGGCTGCTCGGAGGGAGGGAGGGAGGAAGGGGAGGGTGCTGGGAGGTCAGGGCTCATCGTCCCGCCGAGCCACTGTTCAGCGAGCGGATGTGGAATCTGCTGTTTGTTGTGTTGGAAGGGAAAATGTTCCTGAGGATCTTCCAGCCTCAAACACTCAGAATCAGGTTCTTAAAAACATTTAAAAAATCTCTTAATTTGAGTCAAATTTAAGAAATACTAATTTCGAATGTTGAGGAAATTACATAAATGTTAGAAAATCGTCTTCAAGGGGAGGAGAAATGAGCAGAGCCTCTAAGCCGTCTTGTTTTTGCGCAGTTCGGCCATATTTTAACACCAGACGTCACAGGAAGCGCCGGGTCGTGTCGGCCATCTTGTCCTGTTTAGGATTCAAATTTCAGGAATCAATTCGATTCGGATTCTCGAAATTTAAAGTAAATTCTTTTCTAACTGTTTTGATTTTGAATTGGTGTTAAAAACATTTTTTTTTTTTTTACCTGAATGTTTTGCAGTGTTATTAAGCAGCGTATTGATATTATATAAACATCCAACAGGAAGTTAATAAGTAATGGTAGCTGTAGGAAAATACATTTTCAAAAAATTATCTTTGATTGTGTGAATTGATCGTTAGGAATTAATTTGATAATCAATTCAGGATTGGAAAATTAGTTTTTTTTTTTAAATTAGCCCTAACCTGGTTCTGAAGGTAGGCACCGGGGCCAATAGGGACCCAGGGGCCCGTGTCTCTATAGTGATCAGTTCCTCAGCTGCTTATAGCTTAGCAGAGCGCTGGTCTGGGGTCAGCTGCGATCGATCGGATATGAAGCCATGTTGGGTAAATTAAATGAGATAATTCATACTTGGACAGTAATATATTTTAGTCTTTTAACCACATTTTCATTATTTCTTTATTCATTCCAGTCTAGGATAAAAGCATTCGTCAGAGTTTTATGCGTTTTGTTTTCTAAAGCAAATATTTCAAAAAGTAGTTTTTTAAATTTGGAAAAAATAAAATTTATTCAGGATCCGGTTGTTAGTATTTTTTTTTATATGCTTGTTAAAATAGAAATATATCGTGATCTAAATTTTGTCCATTTCTTCCAGCCCTAACTTGGCGTAAATAAAAATAACAGCAGATTTCAAGGTTAATGTTAAATATTTAATTTGGACAGTAATTCAATGTCAATATAATTTATCGTATAATTTTAATCAATAACTTTGATGTAACGTGTTCAATATTTTAATATATTTCACAGGTTATATTTGTTTGTCACTGATGGACATTCTGGGTTTTTTCTGTAGTTTTATTTGCTTTATTTTTCTAATATTTCTAAAATGTTATATTGAAGGATTATTATAAACCGTTAAATATATAATCATAAGATTGTATATGAATATTTGGGGGCGTCTTTGCGGTTTTTTTGAAGCTTTTATTTGGCTTAAATTCATATCATGATCGTATCGTATTAACAAAAATTGAGATATATATTTTGATATAATCTTATAATTTTTGTATATATATATATATATATATATATATATATATATATATATATATATATATATATATATATATATATATATATATATTATGTGTGTGTGTCTGTGAGTATTTTTATTTGGTAAAACAAATTTCCGTGTTTTCATCCACTTCTTATTCCAAAGATTTATACTAGAAGAATAAATGAACATAAAGAAAACAACGTCAGTCTGATAGTTTTTTTTAAGACTGTTTAAATGTTATTTTTCTAGTGAAAATAATAATAAAATAAAAGTATTTAGAATAGAATAGAATAAAAGTATTTAAGTAATTGTTTGATGTTGTGTTTAAGTAGGACCCAGATGGACCCAGTTAATTTCCACCGTTAAAAACTATTCAGCTGTCAGTTGGAAAATAAAATCACCTTCAGTCTTTGTTTTTATTTGGATATTATTTTAAATAATATCCAGCAGTGCTGCATCGCATGAGGCCCACTTTCTACCATTTATTGATTATTACCTTCTTCCAAAATGCGTCTAATTTTCTGTTTTTCTTTAGATCTC